TAGCGCACGTGATTGATGGCCAAATAGTTGGACGTCGAAAGAGTCAGGAATGCCCACGTGTGGTGTTTCAGGGTTTGAGGTTGCTTTTGTGTTGATGAAAGTTGCTGCGGCGCAAGCACCGGCAAACATCGGCTGTATTTCGGTCGATCCACATTCAATGCCTGATGCTTGTGGTAGCATATACGAATGCATGTTTTAGTTGTCAAGCGGTTCATGCGTCGTTGCTTGGTCAACAAACTGTCAGAGGTATTACGAGCGGGCCACCCGACAGTACTTCGAGTCGCATGGTGTGAAGCTGCCTCGTCGGGTGCTACTCCATTTGCGACTTGGTCCTGGTCATGTCGCCGTGGCCTATAGTGTTGCATCACTCCGGGCGCTGGTTTCGATAGTCATCCGACAACGTAGGAGCAAACATCGTCCGTTCTGAAACACTCGGCCCAAAGTGGGGAGAAAGCAGTCTGGTCTGGCCTCGAAACAAGCAGATTCCTGAATGGCGACACCAAAATTGCATCGCTTGTGCGCGCTGTGCTTGATTCTTGAGAGCAGCTTACACTGTTCCACTGAAGCTCAGGCACAGCATAACAGTTCCAGAGACCGGCAAGACGCCGCGGAGATTCGGCTTGGAAGACAAGAATGGGGTTGAACATGGAGCATCCGCAGTTGCAGAGTTCTTGCAAGCAGACGCACATTTAAATTGCGAGAGTTTCAATTGCTCTTCACTCTACGCTTGAGTTCGGAGCCCTCGAAAGTCCTCCAGCTCCTGCAGGACTTCGACTTCGATGTGTGTCGATCAATCTGTTTCAATGTCATGCAGACTCTATCGTGTGGCTGGTGATACTGCTCATTACCGTTCTGCTTCTGGTGACTGGTATAGTAAGGATGATGTTGTGTACTTGCATTGCTTGTTGCTGCACTCTGTGACTCCATTTGCTTGAAGCCGTGGCTTTGACCCGAACCCGAACTTGAGGCCCTCTGATGGACGGGATGTGCTTCGAACCGTAGTAATGGATCAGCTCTGACTGGGAGAATATGCCAAGCAAGGTAGGGCCTTAATTCGACGGCCAAGCAGAATTAGGGGCATTAGGGCCCTATTCAATGTTCGAGACCACACCCGAAACCGTGTCACCGAAAATCCAAGATGTTAACGCACTGACGCTCAGAGGTTCAAAAGATCACAGCCTGCATGCCCTCAAGCCCCAGCACCCTCGTTATGAGGATTCACGTGACTTGCCCATTCCCGCCCAACATGGTCCAGCTCATCCGCTGCTTGGACATCTTGCGGATTCCGGGCCCTTGAAACCCGACATCCAGACTTCGGGTCCGAGGTTTATGGGCGCATTGTCTGGAGTTTCTTTCTCACTTTGTCGAGTTCGGGTTTCGACGTAGCAATTGAGCAGACGGATTGCGAGTTTTAGGATGGCCTTCTAGTTCTGGGTTCCTGAGGTGCCCTCACGGACCTGCTACATTGCACTAGTTTTTTCTACTTGTCTTTCTTCAAGTCCTGAAGCTGAACGCCCCACACCCTTGGTTCGATCGTCGAGCTCCAGGACAGGTTCAGCAACCAAACAACATCTAGGGCCTAGGGCTCAGGCCGAGGTTCACGGCGCAGCGTCTAGAGTGTCATTTTGGATGGAGGGCTCGGGATCCGCATGTTACGCTTATCTTGTGGTTTTACAGTCGTTTAAATGAGGCTCTCTCTTCTGACATTCCTTGTCTCTCGTACGGCTTCCCCAAACTGATTTCTTTTGATTTATGCAAACTCCGGCTCACATTTCGGGTTTGGGCTTTGCGCAACGCAACCACTGCATGACTGCATCTAGCCCATCTAGCCGCCACAAAACTCTGGTCATAAGCACAGTTCGTACTATCATCCAAATTGAGGTTCTAAGGTACACCTGCAGCCTGATTCCAAGCCTTCAGAACTGAAGAGTCGCTAGGAGGTTATCCCCCACGACCCGCAAGGCCGAGACAACAAGCTGATCCCGTCTGAAACTTTCTTGTCGCTTGCACGAAACGATCTATTGTATGAATTTATTTGAGGGGTTTTGGCTCACTGCCTTCGCTGCGAGGTGATTCGTCTGCGACTCAGAACATCGGCTAGTGTGAGATCTCAGTGCTTTGCCTCTGCGGTGGAATGCATAGTGAGTGGATGGTAGACTGTCTGCACCGCTAGTGCTCTGACTGGTGCCTTCATATGAGCGCGTGTATGTTTGCGAAGATGCAGGCATTCATTTCTGATTTTGTGTTAATCCTTGAGTGTGGTGATGTACGGTGTTGAACATCCAGGCCCGATGTCACATGATTTTGGTATATTGGCCCGATATGGCGATTCACCCTGCTGTTCCGTATTCCCTGTCTCAGCTAATCCTTTGCAGAGGGTTCTTGTCTGAGTTGGTCGGGTAGACAGACGTCTGGGATTGACCTACTAGATGTCTTGGCGGTCTTACAGGACCGATGATGGTCATTCTACCGGTTGCTCTTGCTTACGACTTCCCTGCTATTTTACTGCCACGGCCCTGCGAAACCCTTGCCTGTCATCTTCCGCATACCAGTCGAAGCTTGCAAGGTTTCCGGCGTGGGCTTCGGAGGCACGCAGCTGTTGGCCATGGAAAGGTCTGAACTTTCCCTTTGGATTATATGGCCGTAAACAGCTGCCGTAAACTGCACAAAAAAATACAACATCCAACCCAACTTGCTACAAGGTAAAAATCTCCGAAAGCACGTGTTGCCACTTGGTTCTGTTTTGGGGACAGGGTTGTTAATGAACGTAGGCTAAAGAAATCCCGTTGCAAAGCGCTCGGAAGACCACCCGACCAGGCTGAGGAGAAGCTGCCGGAGCTGTTTGCATCCCCACCGGCCAGGCGAAACTTGCCCGAGCCGCCGCAGCAGGCACGGATGGCGCCTAGTGTTGGCCTACTGTAGTGCCGTAGCTCGATGATAATGGTGATTGCAGTGATGGTGACAATGATGAGGTGATGGTGGTGACCATGGTGAAGGTGCCAGTGCTAGTGGTCGTACTGCTCAGTCTCCGGCCTGCCGCAGGCCCGGAACAAGAAAGCGAACACGCCGCGAAAGCCAGGTGCCTTCGAGAAAGCGGGTCGGTTCGTTTCAGTGGGTGTTACGGCTTCAGAAGCCAAGTTAGGGTTATGGCTGACCATTAAACTGTTTCAATAAGGGTCGAGCTTTGATATTCAGAGCTCCGGGGTTTAGTGCTGTCGAATTCAAGGTCTGGCATGTTTCCATTCTTGTGCATTGATCCGACAGTTCCCGAAGGCGCTTCCAGAGTATTCGGAATACGCCGTGCAGTGACCGTTGTGGCTGGGGGGTCTAACATGTCTGCCAGGGCTCTAGCTAGACCTTGAGTTTGCCGGCACCGGATTTCTGTGATTTTTTTTGCAAATCTCTGTTCAATCACTTCAACGCTCTTGAACGAAGGGAAGCAGGTCCCGTCTTTCAAAGTCAGCTCTAAGTGTCCCGCCATAGCGAGACCAGCACTCCCACCCCCATGTGTGTTTTTGTCAACGGCGAAGGTCAACAGTGCAAGTGCAAGGGCGAAGCCAAAAACTCATTCAGTCATACGGCTCAGCCGCTACAGTCTGCAATTGGCTTGAAGATGCTTAAAGCCTTCAAGATCCCAACCACAAGCTAAAATTCGAGGTCCTCCTTCTCTCCATCTTGGGTCGAAGCCCTCTAGATGCTAGAAACCTGAACTCAGCCCCGATGCCAGGTCTTTGGAAGCAGCTGAAGACCAAAGTCATCGGGTGGTTCCACAGCTGGCGGCCAAGGTGTGGTTGTAAGAGGCCAATACCTATATCTTTGAAGCGGAAGGCCTCGAGCCTCTCCGACCAGTGTTCCAAACTGCCTTAGCAGCTGCCACAGCCACGATCGCTTCAGATGCCAGCCCAGTCGTTCCGCGTGAAACTCTGTGTTGGCAATCTCTCCCAAGGACACCAAACAGCGCGCATGATGTTTCTCAGAATTCCAAGATCCAAAGGCTCGGTAAACTCCCTAAACACTGGGCTACATTGCATACAAAACCCGAGAGGTCCCCCAAAGGCTAGATTCGTGACCTAGGCTGGGTTTCCTGGCATGCCTTTGTCGAAGCCTCATGTCGCAGGCGGCGAGCCCCAAGCTTCGCGAAGCGATGGTGATTCAAGCATCTGGCGGTTTGGAGCTATTGACCGGATGTGGTTAGGGCTTGAGGGTTTAGGATCTGCCTGGCTATCCGGCAGATATATGCTTTAGGATCTAGAGATGCAGCTGGCAAAGAATCGGCGTTGTTTGCCTGGTCGAGCGGCCACTCGGCGTCCCAGCTTGCACCTCATCAACGGCTGGATGAACCGGGCGTTCGAAGCTCCTCGTAGTATATTCGGGATTCAGGCACAGACCCTTCGGAACGTTTTTCGAACGCCCCGCATCTTCCTCGCCAAAATTTCCCCATATTGCGGAAGCACACATGTATTGCCAAAGTCGAGGGCAATCGCAGCCGGTCATGGATACGCAATTGGGATTGGGCTTCGGATTGTCAGTCCGGATTATACAGAGTCGTGACAAGCACTGATAAGCTCAGATAACGTATCCCTCATAAGTTTCGGTTTTACAAGATTTCGGAAGCACATGTGGTTGAGTTCGCAGCGAGGCGTTTCGATATGATGTACTATGATGTAGAGTACAGGCCTAGACCCTCACACGTGTCCACACCCCCGTCATCCACCTCCGCGGGGGTTTCGTCACGATGCCACCTAGATTTAAGGCTTGATCCGGTCAGGTTCGGTTCAATCATATGTACTGTCGGCCCAGGCATTCCATCACATAGCCGCAGCAAGCAACCCAACGCCGAAAACTGCCTCCACAATCCCTCCACCCAAGCCCACCGCCCCGGAGCCGGAACTGCCACATCACAAGCGAGTTCGAACCGGTTCCAGCCTCCAAGCCCTTGAGCCGTTAAAACGAAAAGCCTAAAGTCTACAGCCTTTGGGTCATGGCCCTTTCGGGGTGCGATGGCCGAGTCTTCAAAGCCGGGGGCCCCGGAAGGTCTATGTGTTTGGTGCCGAGTGTGAAGGAGATGGCTCTAGGACCCATAGTTTTTTTGGGTTTATGACTCCAGCACGCCTGCCACATTGCGGCATGTTCTAATCCGGCGCCGGTGGGATCTCTTCAGCTGAAGAGTTGGAGTCCTGGGGCGGCATAGACGGCCTCGAAGGAAAATGTTTCACGGGCCACATCGGACTGTCAAAGAGCTGAAGCCGCCGTGTCTACTCATGGACATGGACCTCAATGCCTCGACAGCGAAATTGCTAGATTGAACTGAAAGTTGCATTTGTCACTTCAGGGCGTGTCCTGGTCCGTATCCGAAATCCGAAACCTCACGATGTTGGTCCCGAACTCGATTCTGAGAACCCCAGCACGGAGAACAGGTCTCCAAACATCAGCCACTGAAGCCGCAACACCTCACACCGTGTCTTCGCTTCACACCAACAGACAGAGTCTGAGTGTCTTTCCCTCTGAGCCGAAGCCGTGCAGTAACCGTTCAGGGGTCGGTACAAGCTCGAGCTGGGAGAGGCGAGGGACGGCAATTGGGTTATTGACGATTATTGTCGGCGTGAGTCGTGGCTTTGTGATGCGGCGAACATCCAAAGTCGCGCATGTCGGAGGGGCCGTGCCGGCGTGTCAAGGGACTGAGAGTTGTAGCTGCAGAGTTCACAATCTGCGGCTTTGAGAGTTTGAATATCTACTGATTAAGCAGAACCGCACAGGCACCTTCTGTCGTGGTACATCGTCAGGCTAGGGCTCACGGAATTGACGATTGCAGCTATAGGCCTAGGGCTGCAGTAAAGCACATACCCTGCGACAAAGCTACGGCAACGTAAGCTGGGAGGAGAAGGGAAGATTAGCAGCAGCAACGGCACGAGAGCAGGCATCGAGCCTTCTCTATCGAGCTGCTATGCGTCCTCATCCCTCAGCGAAGACTGTGCAACATGCTGCAGTAAGGTGACCCATGTCCTGCCACAGTGCAAGCTCAGACAATCTCACACTAGGAACCGAAAAGCCGTGCCAGCCACTCAGAAGCTGCAACTGACGCTCCGAACCTGCAGGAGGTGCAAGTGCGCCTGCGCGACCTGCTCTTGCGCTGTCCGCACTCGGCTTGGACGGAAGTGGGGGGATGTAAACGCAGGCGGCGACTGGTGATGCTGAGCTCGTAACGGACATCGAACTGCCTGCCGCCGTCTACAGCTCCATGCTCCCAAGTTCCCGTTCGAAGTTTGGGCTCTCAAGTTTCCTGAAAACCAGGTGGGAAATGTCCGAGTCGCCATACTTGTCAGGACTTTGGTTCTCTGCGTTCAAGGCTATCCACGAAGGTACAGAGGTTTAAACGAAAGGTTTAGCTCGAATTCTCATGAATTTCGGCTGCAACCGAAAAAGCGTGCTTGGAGCTCCGGAGCTTTCAGGTGCGCGGCCCTGGATGGGATTCGATGGAGCGTCGTTTGCAAGGCCGAGATTCAGGGTTGTAGGAATTCGTGATAGCGTTGGGCATATACCAGCCTTCACAAGGAGAAGTCATGGTGTGGCGAAGTGCCATATAGGCAACGCTTGCAGATGTCTGGATAAAGTTGCAGTCGAAGTGTGGCGGGCCGAAGCTGCTTCCATCCGGGGCACAACTCTAACTCAAAGGTTTGAGCAGGCCCATCTACCGCTGCTTGGATTTCAAAGCCGTTGCGGGAATCTCATCCTCGCGCAAACCCTGGTCGCCCTTGTGTTGGCATCATGCCGAACATTCTAAGAATTTCTCCTCGGCGCCTTTGGTAGCCCGTCGCTGCCGAACAGGTTTATGCCGATCGCTACCAAGGAGGGCACGGGTCTTAGACCAAGGGCTTGGCAGGCTTAACTTGCAGCCCTACAAAAGGGAGCCGGTCGGAATCAAGGTATAGAGTTTGAGTTCTGGCATGTATTAAAGCCTTAGCCCAAACAGCCCCCGGTCCCCCGTCACAAAAAAGAAGCAAGGCCCAAGCCACAATCCCGTAATGCAAAGGCCTCGAAACGGTGAGGATCGAAAAAAGGTTTTTTCTCTTGAAGCCATTCTCCTCAAAACACAAGAAATTGCCTTCGCATGATGGGATTTGGGCAGCAAGTTGCGAGTAAAAAGGCTTGGCAGGACTTGCGTCTAGTGTACCTAGCAGGCGCAGACCCTACAGGCTCCTAGGCAAAATTCAGCCTGAACGCATGAAGACAGAAGCACCCGAGAGCACTTGCCGAGTGTTTGCGAAACTTTGTTTGGGCTCCTGCGTCCATCCCTTCATGGGCTCTGGGGCTGTGGTTTACGAATCAGTGGATTCAGTGGTCAGAGGCAAACAGCATCCAACAACACTCCGCTCAAGCTGCATCACAGGACAATCCGGCAAGTACGGTTTGGCCTGCCTCTTTTTGATGTTTCACATGTCTTTCCGTCCCTTTCCTTGCCGCGACACAAACATTGCGGAATGAGCTCCGTGAGAAGAGTCAAGTGTGTAGGGCAGCATGTCGATTGGATGGACAGCGCCGTTCAAGTCACCATACAAACACGTCTTGTGCACTCCGCTTGAGACCCTGGACCCGAGACCTGAAATCCTTCAAATCTCGACGAAGACATCAGATGCCCGGCGAAGCAGCCAATTGAATCGAAGCTACAATTCTACAATTCCGGTTCAGAAGAATCATCAGTCCCAGGCCTTTGATCGGTGCCTCAGCTCTCGATGCCAGCGCCATAGTGCCCGTCTTTGCAGTTAGCGACTTCGGGTTTAATGTAGGGTGAAGCGGACAAAGGGTGGGGTTAAAATGTCTCTGTCATGGTGTAGATGCTGCACGGTGCCCGGCTAAGTCCCGGGCAAGCAGAACAAACCAGCTGGAGTGCATCAACTATCATGCCAAAATCATCTGAGCCGCTTAGGTTGAACATCTGTCGGTGTTTGGGCTACATAAGTAAGGCTTTGCAGCTCTGAGAACTTGTTGCCTACGATGTGTGAGGAGGCTTTGTTGCACTACCACCTTATTTCGGCTTCCGCATACCACTTGACAGTCTACCAGCATTGTACTGATCGTTCGGGGACCATGTTCTAAGTAGCAGGATTGCAGCGGAAGCAAACGGGCCGGCTTCAATAATAAGCGCGGTGATAAAGATGATGGTGGCCTCCTCCGTTTGTAGAAGCCCTGTCACCGAGGCCGCGAAGACTTGCCTGGCAGACTTGGCAACCTTCGATGAAGCAGCTTCAGGAAGCTTAAGATTCATCGGGTTTGTTACCATTGCAACAGGATGAATCTACATACTGATAGACAAGACAAGGTCGTCGAGTGTTGCAGGTTCCATCATGGCACGCCTACAGTATGCAACATCGTCTCATCTCGCCTCACACGGCGTATAATCCCGAGCTGCTCAGGAGACGCGCGGCTCAGGCTGCGTGAGGAGGCCGCGCTGCGAGAGCCTCAAGTCAAGGGTTGGCCGGGTACATCTGTGGCCTTGCATATGCAAATCTTCTGGAGGAGCATTCACGAGTTTACGGAGTCAGCATCATCAGCTCATGGACTCGCATGGAAGCACAGGTCTGCGGGCAAGGATGGTCAGTTGGGCTGCTGGCCGCACAGCTGCAGAAGTCCAGGCTTCAGGCTTTAAGACCTTTGCGTGTTCGTGTTCGGAGTGGGCTCAGGATTCCCGGTTTGAGCTGTTCAGCTCAGAGTCAAGACTGCTGGGGACCCTTGTCACACTCCTGCGCATTCTGCTCGGCCCGAGCTACAGAGGGCCTGCAACATAAGCCAACCGTGTAGATGCTTTCTGCCAAGGCCTCTGCTTCTGCAGAGGCTTGGGGAGATCGTCAATGCCTGAGATTTGTGGATCGGGGTTTGGGCTCACATTGTAAGGTTCAGAGTTTGCGACTCAGAGTGCCTGGCGCTGTCTACGCACGCAAGGCTCCAAAATCCCTTCAAGATAATGCCAGCCTGAACCCCTGACGTGGGCCTCCGAAATCCAGACCCGACCTTAGCTGGCTTGGATTAAGGTTTAGTAAATTTAGTATGTATGCATGCTTCAACGAAGCGTGAAGCCCCAGGTCCAAAATCGTACACGTTTCAGGCCTCATGTCACACATAGGTTTGTCTTTATCCAGCTTGTTAACTCAAGGACTAGGCTGCGCGTCCATGTTAACTCAAGGACTAGGCTGCGCGTCCAAGGTTGAACGTGGCTTGTTTCTGGGGGCTTGTGGCTTAGAGCTTGAGAGTATCTGAGACATCCCAGGACCGTCGGAAGAACAAGAGCTAAACACAGCACAAAAAGAAGAGTGACTGTCGATGCCCGAAAAGGTCCGAAATCACGGCAGCGCGCAGCCACTGCAAGGAACCGAGGTCGGCACACTGCTGCCGGTTTCAGAGGTAGCTTATGTATACAGTAGTTTGTTTCAGGATTTCAGGAATTTGTGTTTCGTTGTCAGCACTGAGTCGGTCAGAGGTTAAACTTGCCTCGGCGCCCCACTCACGACCGACGAATGCACATGTGCGGCCATTGGCTTCTGGAATGTGGTTCAGGGCATGGGCATGGTATTTCCTCGGTTTGGCTGTTAGGTCCAGAATTTCAGCTCCCAGCGACACCTGCCCCAGTATTTCTTCGTTGCTGAGACATGAACCCGAAGCAGCCAGACCCAAAGACCCAAACCTTGAGGCACCAAAATCCCAACACCTAAGTCGAAGCCCTGATCTCTGCGACACAGAAAATGAGCCGTGAATGGTTTAACCAAAGCTCCAAGCAGGCTGAACACATTGGAACCAGCACTGGGGAGGCCAGGCCCAGGGAGAGTGGGAAGACTTGAACTTCTGGTTTCTTGATGCTTTTCACAGGGGGCAGGTGTCGGCTCAGGAGCCGACATTTCTGCAGGCCACTGAGCTGTTCATGTCATGTGATTAAGTCCCCGGGCAGCTTGAGCTAGTCGGACTGCGGAGTGGATACTGGGGTTGCATCGAACGATGTGACCGATATGGT